ACTGAAAACCCATGTAAAATTATACAATAATAAATTATATAGTTTTGCATTGAAAGCAGTGAGCGCGCGCGCGTTAATTCGCGCTCCTCATTTCGCATAAAAAGTTAAAAACCTATTGGAATCGGACTATTGAACTCATTTTGAGTAAATTTGATATTAAATGTTTGACTCAAATAATTAAAAATTAAAACAAAAATGGCATATGAAAGCCAAAGCGCGATAGTTGGAACGCAGAGAAGGAACAACGCTTCCTTATTTTTTTAATATTAATTTATTACAAACTCATATTACATTAATAAACAAAAAAAGCGAACGTTTCGGATCATCTTTTGATCCTTCTTCAGCGTGGTGTTAACAATATACATATATTACAAATTAAAACGCGTTACATTATACGAATTTGTCTATCAACGCGCAGGTGACGTTAAATTGCATCACGTGGAGAGCGCTACTTTCAACGGTCCATCAAATTTCCATCATCGAATCTCGAACTGACATGAGACACATAGTGGCATACTGTTATTAATTGTTAAAAAAGCGTGGAGTCTGATCTGCGACGTTACACAGCATAATTATAAATATATTTGAGTGCGGCCCGGACTCACCACTCCTTCCGCGCTTCGCCGCGCGCTTCTACACTGAGAAAAATCGATTTGATTGTATCAAGACATATATGATTAAAGGCATATTGGTTAAATCAAACAAAAATTTCTAGTTATCATAATAAAGACTCGATTTTTTATAACTAGAACGTTTAATAGATTTTACTATAGGATTTGGTTAGTATTTTCTGGTTGGATCAATAAAATTTCTTGTTACATTAATTTCTTTGCTTGCTTCTTAACTTAACTCGTATTCAATATTTGTCATAAAATGTATATAAAGAATTAGTATTAACATTAAATCCAAAGTATATTCTTTTTCTCTACGAGCAGTAGTGCCAGAAAGAGGACGCTAGCTCTCTAATTGTGTGTGTTTGAGCTGCATCCTCTTCTTGCATCACTGTTTATCAGTTTAATTTCTAACAAACTGAATTTAAAATGATTTATTCAATAATCTGGATTGAATTTATCCAATAATCTTGTTGGAATTCAAAATATTAAACAGACTTTTGAGATTAGATCAAAAAAATTTTAGACGACTTGGTGCTGGCGAGTTTAATATTATTAACCAGAAAATTTGATAAATTTAACAGGAAGAAATTAATCAGATTCATCTGGTAATTCCTACAAGAATTCTGGTTCGTCCATTTTCCAACAGACATACTGGTTGAATCTACCAGAATTCTAATTAATGCAATCAGATTTTTTTCTCAGTGCAGTTTAATTTCTAATAAACTGAATTTAAAATAATTTATTCAATAATCTGGATTGAATTTATCCAATAATCTTGTTGGAATTCAAAATATTAAACAGACTTTTGAGATTAGATCGAAAAAATTTTAGACGACTTGGTGCTGGCGAGTTTAATATTATTAATCAGAAAATTTGATAAATTTAACAGGAAGAAATTAATCAGATTCATCTGGTAATTCCTACAAGAATTCTGGTTTGTTCATTTTCTAACAGACATATTAGTTGAATCTACCAGAATTCTAATTAATGCAACCAGATTTTTTTTTCAGTGCAGTTTAATTTCTAACAAACTGAATTTAAAATAATTTATTCAATAATCTGGATTGAATTTATTCAATAATCTTGTTGGAATTCAAAATATTAAACAGACTTTTGAGATTAGATCAAAAAAATTTTAAACGACTTGTTGCTGGCGAGTTTAATATTAACCAGAAAATTTGGTAAATTTAACAGGAAGAAATTAATCAAATTCATCTGGTAATTCCTACAAGAATTCTGGTTCGTCCATTTTCCAACAGACATACTGATTGAATCTACCAAAATTCTAATTAATGCAACCAGATTTTTTTCTCAATGTATTCACGCAGATTGGCCGATCTTCTTTAATTAATTTTTCGTTAATTATTGCAAATATCGCAAAATAGTAGAGGATCTTCCTTCTTAATTTGAATCAATCTGACTTCTTGACTACTTCGGGACTGCAAAAAGTTATTAGACATCCTGTATAGTGTGTGTGTGTGTGTGTGTGTGTGTGTGTGTGTGTGTGTGTGTGTGTGTGTGTGTGTGTGTGTGTGTGTGTGTGTATGTGCGTATGTATGTGCACGCATAATATATTTTGATGGCTCATTTTATATATTGATATTCATCCTTTTTAAGAAGCAAAACGCCGATTGTACTAACGATAAAGAGAAACTACAAAATCGCCTTCTCGATAACACGTGGAGAAATGCAATGCTATTAAACTTTATCGGAATGTCCAGAACTCGAGGCCGACATCTCAGAAGAAGAAGAAGAAAAAGAAGAAGAACACGAAAGAAAACTGGGCGCGAGAGATATTCCGACGGTCGTTTGCGAGGAAATGATGTTATTAGCAGGATAAAACATTTCTCTTCAAAGTTTATTTGTATAAAGTTATAATTGCAGAGGCATAGTTTGTGTCGACGTTTCTGTAACGAGCATAGCCGTAGGAACATAGAAAATAATCGGAGGATCTCGTGCCAGAGGATCAATTTCCGTCGGGAAAACCGAGCGATTTTTTTTCCATGCATGTCATGCGAGGAACATGCGTTGTGCATCGTGCACAACACCCTTTGTTTACGCGCGTTACCACATCGCATTGCGTATCGGTCGGTGGACCATCTTTCGCGTTTATCTGGCGCAAAACAATGCCCGCTTCGAGGGAAGAATTAATTGGAACGTTTGAAAACATCACTACCGAACAAGCCGGTGTCACAAAGTCGCAGCTCACACCCGAGTATAATAAATATTATATATCTGCGTTCTCTTCTTCATTCTCACAAATATTGCATCAATTTGATGAAAAAGAGGGGAAAAAAGAGGTGAAAAAAATCCATTCCTCGATGTAACCACTTCCGAAAGGGGGAAGGGAAAGGGACGCGTTTCTGGTCGCGAGAAAATCGAACAGCTACCGATATAAAAGGGGAAAAAAAACGCGGTCGGCGAGAGCCTGCGGTCGATGGGCAAGATACAAGGCAATATCGATTGAATATTAGGATCTGCGGGGAGTATGCGAAACCGTCGCGCACACATTAGCCTCTTTGACTTGCTAAATAGGTTAATTTGAATGTTTAAATTCCGGCTCCGTGCAACTCAATTTGCGAGAGAGGACTCAACGTCTGGTTAATTCCTTGCCTTCGTTCCCCGCGAACTCCTCCTCGCATCAGCCGAAGCTGGACTGTTAACTTCCTGCACATTTCGAGCATCAACATACGGAAACGTCAGGCATTTCTCCTCTTTCTCCTTCTCTTCCCCTTCAAGCTCTCATGTGGTTCCCCATGTCGTTTAATTGGAGAGTATTATTTGCGCTCCGCTACTCCTGATCTTTTACGCATCGCGACTTTTCGATTGCCAGCCCCGGCAGACGCGATGACAAAAAAAAGGAAATCGAAGTGCAAAGGGAGATTCGAATCGCGTCCGTTGTTTAATATAATTGCGGCAGACACGATGACGAAATTAAGGAAATGATAGAAATCGCGGTGAGAAAATAATGAAACCACAATGAATTTATAACTATTGTCAATATTTCATCGCATTGCGATTCAATTCTAGGATAGCTCCCTGGTATATTAAATATACTGATTACACAGGCCTGCAAAAAAGGGGGTCAAAATTTCTTTTTAAGATGCAATAGTGATTTTTGATATAATTTTGTGCACTGAATTCGAATCTGACCGCCGAATTTGCGTAGCACGTCAGGTTTTTGAGTTATTTGTAGTTGAATAGCCCAAAAATCGCTATTTTGGCCAATTTCATGAATTTATTGTGAGGAAACCAAATTTTTTGAAATATTTCTGTCAATGGCATCGTATAGTACTCACCTTCATCTTTCGAATCCACTTTCGATTATCGCTGCACGATTTTTTCTCGCTCAGATATACAAGTCATAAGACTGGTCATTCATAAAGATCTAATAAGCCATTCTAAATCAACCGTGCCATCTCTTTATTTCACTACAAATCAAAATTAGGATAAAAATATACATTTTTAAAACCTTCTGTCACTTTTTGGAAATTAAAAATGGCGCATCCAATATGGCGAATAGAATCACAATAAAAAGGCATAAAATGTAGAAAAATTTATCAAAATGTGTAACAACTGTATTAGATATTTCTTTACAATACTTTTTTAGACAATCAAACCTGACATATGTCAGTCTTTTCAACTTTCAACATCATGGATCTACCATATTGATGTCTATATAAATTTTCTTACAACGTCATACTTATATATCTCAACGAAGAAAAATCGTGCAGCGGTAATCGAAAGTGGATTTGAAAGGCGCAAGTGAGTATTATACGATGCCATTGGCAGAAATATTTTAAAAAATTTGGTTTCCTCGCAATAAATTCATGAAATTGGCCAAAATAGCGATTTTTGAGCCATTCAATTACAAATTACTCAAAAACGCGACGTGCTACGCAAATTCGGCGGCCAGATTCGAATTCAGCTCACAAAATTACGTCGGAAATCACTATTGCATCTTAAAAAGAAAAATCTCGCAGGCCTGTGTTATTGACTCTATCATTTATCGCTAAAATCTCTTTATTCAATGTTTATTCAATGTTTATTTGAAAATTTTAGTAGATAATACATATATGTGCTTTAAAAAATATTTTAAATGATATAAAATATTTAACAAATAAAATTTCTTTTTTTATATCATTTAATTATATTTAAAATATAATTAACGTGGACGTCAACCTGCCTTGGGACACAATTCTGTTTATAATGTTATGTAATGCAGAAAATATTTAAAGAATCACAAAATGCCGTGTATTTTCTGATACACGCAGGTATATTAAAATGTAAAGGATAGAAAAATTTTAAATAAAAATCTGTCCGAATTACATATCTAGTAATATATAGAATATTTTGTTGTAGAATATTATTTTTGGAAATGTATTATCCGGAACAGCGTGAATGCAGTCCCGACTATCAAAAATTATGTGTTTGACATATCCATGTTATGAATGTTCACAGAGGTCAATTCTAAACTGTAGTGCAATGGTAAGAGATCTCGCTCCGGAGAAATCGTTTTGTTGATCACGAAATTCTCAACACCAGATTAACGTTTTTCGCCTGTATAAGGATATTTATACTTATTGTATCAGATTTTAAATGGGAGAAACTTTATCGAAACTTACGCAGCCTAGTGTAAGATATTTCAATTAGTTTTAAAAAAAAATAGCTTATTGAAATAACTAAAAATTGTGCTTAAAAGTAAAAAGTTTGATTTCAACAAATATTTTAAAATATAATTTTAAATTAAATAGAGTAAATTAATTTAGTTAAATTAAATAGATTGGATACATTTCAGAGGAATACAGTTTGCAATCATTTCTATATATAATATATCGCGTATGTGTATCTAGGTAGATAAAGTTATTAAAACTTATTTATTTTACCCTCTTCTCTTTTTCTCTCTTTTTTCCTCTTTCTTTTTTCTCTTATCATATTTTTAATTAAATCAAATAATTTTTTAACGTGAAAGTTATGTATTTTTAAATTAGTTTTATTGTATTAATTTTATTATTCTTCACGACATTATTTAATCTTGAGATAAATTGAGTATCTAAATTAAATTTTGATTTAATTAAACGTTTCAAGATTATTATAATTTTTTATTAACATAGGTTTATTAACATAGGTTTTAGTAACATAGGTTTCATGTATATACAGTGACCGGCAAAAATAAAAAGCCACCTTAACTATAAAACTGATTTGATGCTAAAAGGTAAAAAAAATTCATTATAAAGTTTTTTATAACTAAAACTGAAAATTTATTAAGTAATTTAATGTTTTTAATTAAAAAGAAATCATTTTTTATTTAATACTGTATTTATTTCTATATAATCATTTATTTAAGAGTGACAAAATAAAAAAGCCAGTTAAGGTAACATAGTATTACGATTTAAAAAAACAACAATATTATTTTAATTAATAATTAATATGATTTCCTTTAGCCTCAATTACTTTTTGCAGTCTTTTTGGTATACTTTCAATTAAATTTTTTAAATGTTGTGGATCCAAATTCTCCCAGACTAGTTGTAATGCTTCAAAATAAGAATTCTTGTTAGTTACTCCGCTTTTATTAATCCTATTATCCAAAATTGCCCAGAAATTTTCGATAGGGTTTAAATCTGGAGATTGCGGAGGCCATTCAAGTTGTTTAATTCGGCAGGAACGAAAAAAAGCTTGACTTTTCTTTGCTGTGTGTTTCGAGTCATTATCTTGTTGGAAAATGAAATTATCTTCTAGTCCGAGTTTCAACAAACACTCCTCCAAATTTTCATTTATTATATCAATGTAGACATCTGCTGTCATAATTCCGTTAATTTTGACAAGATTTCCCACTCCTGCCCATGAGAAACATCCCCAGACTAAAATATTTCCTCCGCCATACTTTACAGTTTTCTGAATGACGATCTTGAAGCTCTTCGCCGTGTTTTCTCCAGACTCTAATCCGCTTCTTTTGTCCAAATAACTCGAATTTGCTTTCATCTGTCCATAAAATATTTTTCCATAAAATATTTTTCCAGAAGTCCAATGACATATTTGCATACTTCCGAGCAAATTGCAAACGTTTTTTCTTATTGGTGACGCTAAAGAAAGGTTGTTTACGTGCAAACCGGCTGTGTAAATTTGCTTCATTGAGTCTTCGACGTACAGTGCGGTCAGAAACAGTAAGATAAATGTTTTCCTGAATTTCTCTAACAGTAATCTTTGGATTTTTCTTAACTTCACGGATTATTTTCATATCCTCCCGCTTGGATGTTGCTCGTTTTCGACCTCTTCCGATTCTATCTGCCACCGATCCAGTTGATTGAAATTTTCTTCTGATCTGTTCTACTGCTCCTCTACTTACTTCATAATTTTTGGCTATATTCCGTTGGGAAAGACCTTTTTGAATATCTCGCACAATTAAGTTTCGAACTTGTGTGGAAATTGATCTTCCTCCCATTTTTGACCGCGAATTTTTTGTAATAATCGAGATAAGCCAATGTTGCAAAAATGATTAACAACAACGAGAAGTGAGCGCAATAACATGAACATGTTGACATGACAACCAAACAAAATATTGTATATATTAAATCGAACAAATCTGAATGGCTTTTTTATTTTGTCAATAATAAACAGCAATATTTAAGAAATATAAATAAAACTGAAAAGTAAAAAATAATTTATGTGATTGTAACATAAAATTTTAAAATAAATAATAAATGCTTCTTCTTTCATCAATGAAAATCTCATTGTTTTAATATTTTTACTCTTTCATTAAGCAAAACAGTATAACTAGGAAAATGGCTTTTTATTTTTGCCGGTCACTGTATGTAAATTTCGAAGTGTTCGTCAAATATATATGTATTATTACATATACACTTATTATATATATACTATTTCAAATATCGATATTTCTAAACATGTATGGCGAAAATTTAGTACAGTAACACAAATTAAAAAATTCTTAATTAATTCTATATTTAAATACATTATTATATTAGAAATTTTGCGGAAACAGACGATAATAATAATTATTTTTATAATACTACATTATATAATAATACATATAGATTTCATTCTGAGAAAATTAAAGTTTAATTGTATCGATATTCTCGACAATGGCATATTAATTGCAAGCTCTATTGACATGTTGGTTCGCCAGTTAATCAATGAGATTACAAGTATTCGCGTCCGTCAAAATATGTGTTTGCTTTAACATAATTACTTATGTCGTTCACTATGATATTACCTACTACCAGGGGAGGGAGGCAAAGTCTGCTCTTGCCTAGCTTTTTTGCCTGCTCTTAAAAAATCAAGCAATTTAAAAATAATTCTAATTAATTTAATTATTTCTTAATTAATTTTATTTTATTAATTTTTGTTCAAATAATGTAAGTTATTTGTAATATTGCATTATTTACAATGATACTTCTTCATAAATATCACTCCCTTTTTTTCATTGGGCAACATTTCCACCTGGCTACACTCGTGCCTATTACATAATCATAATTAATCGTCGAATTTTTATGATAAAAATATAAATACATTTTTCTGTATACTTATACTTAATTACTCCGTATAATTATATTAATTATATTAATATTATTTGATTACATAAGATTGTAGAGATTATTTTGCTATAGCATTGCATGTCTAAAGCATTTTTATTAAAGACATTTATTTTATTGCTTTTCGAACAAATCTGTAGCTTTCATTGTCATAACATATAACAATGATTCTAAGTATCTTTAGAGAGTTAAAAATTCAATATTATTCAAATATTTATCAAATTATACATTTATTTTGGAAACATATCAATTATAAACGCTTAATTTTGAAATAATCTATGACTATTACAGAAATAGATAAAATTTCACTTATAATTTTGTGAATCGTATAATATTATACGATTCACAAAATTATAAGTGAAATTTTATCTATTTCTGTAATAGTCATAGATTATTTCAAAATTAAGCGTTTATAATTGATATGTTTCCAAAATAAATGTATAATTTGATAAATATTTGAATAATATTGAATTTTTAACTCTCTATAAAAGAAATAAAAATTTTAAAAATGTCATATCGTGAGATATATATATATATATATATATATATATATATATATATATATATATATTGTAACATACGGGGTACATTTAAAATTATGTACATATATTCTATCCCGTTAGTTACATATAAAAATTATATCTATATATAAATTTTATATATATATAAATCCGTTGTAAGTAAACTTTTTTACATAATATGTTACTTTTGTGAATATATTATACGGGAGAGCGCGAACGCAGTCCCGGCTAACAAAAATTGTACGTCCGAGATATCCACATTAGGGACATTCGCAGAGGTCAGCCTTAAACCGTAGTGCAATGGTAAAAGGCCTCTCCCTGGAGGAACCGCCTTGTTGATCACGGTAGCCTCTACGCCAGGTAAGTATGCTTTTCTCTCGTAGCTTAGCTGTATTTCAAACTATTTTGTCGAATCTTAACTACAGGAAAGCACAACGTTACTGCGCACCATAGTGGCCGTTTTGGGAACTACATCTAAGAATCTCCAAATATGTATGGCCATACTTCGTTTGGCGCTACAAAAATTTCGAATCGTTCGGTTCACGAATTAGAATGAAAAAGATAAAAATCTTTTGTTGCGATTGATCAATCGAATACTTTGAAAGCATTTTGTAATGTCAAACGCATTCTGTATCTGAGAACAGTACGAGAGAAAGTATGTATGTGAGAAGTCACATATAAAATAAATAATTGAGTTATAAAAGGTTAATAAAAATATTTAAATATATATGTATATTTTTTTACATTTTAATATACATAAGTATAAATTTGCATAAATTTATTTGTGATTCAAATTTTTGTAATAATTATATATGTACGTCAAGCCTTTCAGTTATATGATCGCCGAAAATAATGATAATTTTCAGCACAATCCATCTTTCAATTTGTAATAATCTGTATAAAAAATTTATAATATATTAATTATATAATTAACAATTTTTTTCTGCAACAGTTTTTCTATAACATCTTGTGTCTAATCATAATAAGTGTAACTGTATCACAATTATATTATCATTATATATTATTAAAAAGAAAAATTATTAATTCCGGCTAAAAAAATTGGCTAATATAAAAATTATTAATTATGATGAATTTTATATAAATTACACAGGTCTGCGAGGTTTTTTTTAAAGATGTAATAGTGATTTCCGACGTAATTTTGTGAGCTGAATTCGAATCTGGCCGCCGAATTTGCGTAACACGTCACGTTTTTGAGTAATTTGTAATTGAATGGCTCAAAAATCGCTATTTTAGCCAATTTCATGAATTTATTGCGAGGAAACCAAATTTTTTGAAATATTTCTGCCAATGGCATCGTATAATATTCACTTTCGCCTTTCAAATCCACTTTCGATTACCGCTGCACGATTTTTTTTCGCTGAGATATATAAGTATGACGTTGTAAGAAAATTTATATAGACATCAATATGGTAGATCCATGATGTTGAAAGTTGAAAAGACTGACATATTACTGATATATCAGGTTCGGTTGTCCAAAAAAGTATTGTAAAGAAATATCTAATACAGTTGTTACACATTTTGATAAATTTTTCTAAATTTTATGCCTTTTTATTGTGATTCTATTCGCCATATTGGATGCGCCATTTTTAATTTCAAAGGTGACAGAAAGTTTAAAATTAGAATAAAAATGTATATTTTTATTCGAATTTTGATTCGTAGTGAAATAAAGAGGTGGCACGGTTGATTTAGAATGACTTAGTAGATTCCTATGCATGACCAATCTTATGACTTGTATATCTGAGCGAAAAAAATCGTGCGGCGGTAATCGAAAGTGGATTCGAAAAATGAAGGTGAGTATACGATGCCATTGACAGAAATATTTCAAAAAATTTGGTTTCCTCACAATAAATTCATGAAATTGGCCAAAATAGCGATTTTTGGGCTATTCAACTACAAATAACTCAAAAACCTGACGTGCTACGCAAATTCAACGGCCAGATTCGGATTCAGCGCACAAAATTATGTCAAAAATCACTATTGCATCTTAAAAAGAAATTTTGACCCCTTTTTTCGCAGGCCTGTGTTATTTGTAATTAAATTGATTAAATTAAAATTGTCGAAATACTATAAATGTGAAAAAAAAAAGAAAATTGTAACTGTAATTGTAATGAATTTTTCAAAAACTTACTTGATCTGTATGCAATTACGACATACTTCTTCACATCATTTTTCTTAATGGCCATCATTCGATATCTCGTGCAATGATTATAACATAACATGTGACAGACGCTTGGAAAAGTGCGATCGTTAAAATCACGATCTCTGGCGCAAATTGTCCGATTACCATCGTCATCGCTGTCCTTTTCTGTGACCTGCCTCGTGCGAATAGTCGTCTCCTCTTCCAAACCGATCACTTTTTCCTCGTCACAGTGCTCGCAATTACACGCGGTTGTATTCTCAACGCCCGTCGCGAAGCATAATCTGAAAATAGGTACTGCACGTACAGTAATTATTACAGAATCACATTGTTACAGAATTGCCTTTCAGAAATATCGCAAAAGGAGAGAGATTGCGTTATTGTTATTCAATTATTCTTAAACATGCATGCAATAATTATATCTGAGAGGAACACATTGTGTGAGTATTGAAAAATATTAAAATATTGAAAATATTAAAAAAGTGATAAAAATATTTTCTTTACAATTCTGAAGCTTAGAGTAAATTTTACCTACGTACATAATGCAATTATAATGTATAGTGATCGCATATTTTAAGTCTAAATAAAAAAATGAGATAAAAGCTTAAAACGTCTGTCGAGTTGCAAAGTGCAATCGAAACTAAAGCTCTTTAAAGGCTATCCGATAAAACTATTTGATATGCAGTGCTGTAGCGAAAAAATATTGTTTCTTATGAAAAATTACGTAATATTATTAATGCAATTATACACATGTATATTTTTATGCAAAAGTATATTTCTATAAAAATTCGACACATGTAATCGCGCGACATAATTAATACATGTTAAACATGGACATATCTCCTGACAGACGCAAATGCTCGTAGCCTTGACGATTATCTAGGGAACCATGACTGACGAGTACATAACTGCCGATATGTCGAGAACATCGTCACACTGACCTCTGATCTCTTCAGAAAGTAATCTAATACGCATACGCATTAATATCATTATTACGTGATGTCATAATATGATTATTATTATTTGCATTTTCTAGCACAACATTAATATATATTGTTAATTGAATATATAATTAATGGATTTATAATCATTATTCGAATATATATAATTAAAGAATATGTATAATTAATCACACACACACTATGTATGTGTATATTATTTTAATTACATGTATAGTTTGTTATGAAATTATAAAATTTTTTACATACACGGTAAAAAACATTTGTATTTCTGTTAAAATTTTCTCGTGTAAAAATTTTTGTGTTAAATTTTTAACATACTCTTATGTTAATGTAACATATTATTATTGCGTTATTTTGACATTTCTGCGTTGAGTTAATATTCACCATTTCTAAGAATTAAAACAACACAATTAATATGTAAATGCACGAATTTTTGATAAAATATGTTATATGTTAAAATGAACAGATAAGTTGTGTTATTTTTCTCTCTATAACACTTTCCATATGTTAAATCGACATATTTCGTCTGTTATTAATCATAAAAATGTAAGAATAACGTTTTCTTTTAACTAAATTTAACATTATAAATATGTTAATTTAACATAAACTTTAAACATTAACTTTAATTTAACATAAACTTTATTTCCAGATAAAGTTTAAGTGTTACACTTTTGTGTTAATTTTTAAACATATTACTTGTGTTATTTATTTACATACTTGCCTTCTGTTAAATTAACATTAAAATTAGAGTGGATAAATTGGGACATGTGAAATATATTAAATTTAATACAAAATTTTTTACTGTGTAGAATTAAAATGTTACGTTAATACGCATTACTAAATCGAAAGATATATGTATTTAAAGCGGATTTGTGCATAATGAAACGTTTCACTGTTATTCGCGAGTTTTTCGCAAATTACTTCAAACGTATTTTTTTTAATACAAACGATCTCTTTCAAAGATGCCGGCTGTCGTCGCTACTTCCACAGCACTCTCGCGTTATCGCTTTTATGTTAATTACCCGCGGGAGGTAATGCTCAGGATAGTACTCGCGCAAGTCGAATGAGACAGGTGGTTCTAAGCTCCTCTCTCTTTTAGCATACTCTGAAAAAAGGAAGAATAATAAATATATAATGCTTTTACTCTGTATATTTCCATAAAGTAACAGCTAAATCGTTCTACCGTATTTAGTTATAATTAAATTTCTTTCGCGAAACTAATCGAGGAATCTAAATAAAGGAAGCCGCATTTTTTAATCTAAGATGAATATTGAAATAACGTATTAGTTTGCAACATTTATCTTATAATCTTCATAGAGTCGGTCAACGATATTTTTTCGGTCCATTGAAATTTTTTTCGAATGGATACAATTCAAGCTAGTCATAAGTTCCGCGATATATAGAGGTGAACGTTTTGCAATATCAAATATACGTATATAATCTTTTAAGCGTGTATGTATACCGTTTAGATACCGTTCGCTGACACCTTAAATCTTGAAAGTTTATTGCCGTGACAATAACCGCCAGCCTGCACAGCTAACAATTATATAATGTCTTGACTTATGGACTAATTTGCATTTTAATCCGACCATCTATTGTTACTTGCCATTGTCGGTAGAATGCGCACATCGTGTGCTTAAGATGGCAAAGTTCGAGAGGTTGAAACAAGGTCACCGTCAATTTGTAGAACAATGAACGCGAGAAAACGAGATAAATGTTGCAGATACGCGGAATACTCAGCGTCTAGTCAAAAATTAATTGCAAAATGGTAATACAGTAATTAATTAGCAAGGAATGCATCTCTCTCTCATCTCCATTTCTTCTCTTCCCGCGGAGACCAATATATTAAATGAACAGGCAACACTCGACAATGTATTTACTTCGATCATATTCTCATATAGCACAAAAGCTTGCTGCAACATTGCTGCAATCAGTGTTTGCTGTAGATAATTTCAAAATTATCTAGATAAAGATAAAGATAAAAATCGGTAAATTTATCTTAGATGAGATAAAGATGATTTTGCTTTTACTTAATCTAGATGAAAGATGAGATTATTATTGCGATAATCTAGATAATTATCTAGATATTTTTGTTTATTTTATAAGACTATAAATATTTGTAAAAAATGTGACGCAGATTATAAATAGGATATTAAAATCATAAACACATATTCTTTCTCTTTTCCGAAAGAATATTTAAATAATAACAAAAAGGTATATAAATGATATGATAAATATTTATTTATTAATTTATATTTATAATATATTTGTAATATATTTATAATATATTAATAATATAATAATCAATGTGTCACAATACATATATCATTTTTATAAACTATGCATTAATGCATTGCATAAATTTAAGTAAAACAAGTACAAAATAAAGTATATTTGTAATATTATTTTCCAAATAAAAAATATATTTTAGATATTTTAGATAGATTTTTAGAAGCTTGCCTGGAAAACTCTTTTGCATAATGAAAACGTCATCTTAGACAATTTTTAGATAAGATGACATATATTTTTTATCTAAGATAAAGATAAAGATACTTTGTATTTCTTCATCTAGTTAAAGATAAAGATGATTCATTTCTTTATCTAGATAATTATCTAAATAATTTTATCTAGATACCAGCAAACACTGGCTGCAATGTTGCTCACTGCAGTGCAATGTTGCAGCAATAATGCAGAGACATTATTTTGTAATATTACTTTGGCAATGTTGCAGCAACGTTTTAACATATCAAAAATGTATAACATATATTTCTTTACTTGCCGCTACGCGGTAACACCCAATTTAACTAACTCGTATTCGAATTCATCTAAGATGGATATAAGGTCTATAAAGGATTAATGTAGTAATTATATTTCTTGTCTTGTATCAGTTTAATTTCTGGCGATAAATTGACTTGATTTACTTAATATTCTGAATCCTAATGAAGGATCTAGATTATTAAACAAATAATTTGTTTAATCTGGATCCTTCATTGGGATTCAGAATATTAAACAGATTTTTTTTAATTGAATGGGTAAATAGGAAATAATTCATTTATTGCACGTATTAAAATATTCTGGTGTTGAATATATGTAAAATAATTATATGTAATATTATTGAGATAAATATTTAAGAAACATCTAATAAAAACACTAATAGATGTTTTTTTAAGGCATTTTTTCCTTTCTTAAACATTTTTTTATATTTTCAAAGTTTATTTATTAAATTTAAAACGGTGTCTGCATTTGTAGTAAAACCTGTTTTAATATTACAAATACGTTACACCGTAACATTCCTGCAATATTGCATTGCAATATTTCTACAAGCAGACATTTTACCGTTACTGCAATATTGTAGCAACATTTTGCAACCTTTCTGCAATGTTGCAATCTTGCAAAGAAATATTTCTACAATGTTGCTGCAATATTTCTGTGCCGTATGGATTTGAGTTTCTCCGGAATACAAAGGGCTAAAAGAAAGCGAAGTCGTTGTCCGCGATTAATACTGCTAAAAAATATCTTTATTTGCTAATGGTATCTCTTTCCTACCATCTCTTTCGATTATCTTTTATCTCTTTCTCTTGTAGAGCTTCCTATGAATGGCTTCTCCCGATTAGATTCATTTGCCAGTCTGTCTACTGATATAAACTTATCCCCTTCTTAATTAGTGATCATTCACATTGATACTTCAATTTTAATCTGGCTTATGACAATCGATATTTTCTATCGCAAAACCAAACTCATAATCGCGAATTAAAATTCCTCGAGCCGCAGGAAGTTAATGTGTAAGCTTCGGAGAAATTAATTTCTTTCTTTCTGAAAGTAAATGATGTGCACAAATTTTATTTGACACAAGATCAAATATTTCTAAATTAATTTCTACGTAAAACTTATTTATAATACTCTTCGTATTTCTTTCATCCCCTCAAAAAATCATCTCAGACTTATTAATTTAATTATGTTATTATATTTCATTTTTTATCGTTAAATCGTATTAATTTAATTATGTTATTATATATCATTTTTGTGTCATGTCAGTCAGTCTAAATCAGCAATGACAATATTTAATTATAATATTAAATTATATTATTTCATATAAAAATGTATGCTTTCTGAATACGATGTCATCAGAAATATTCAAGTGAGTGTAATCATCAGTTTGGAGGCTGCTGTAGAAACGATATCCGCGAATTTGGAATGCTGAAGTGGCGCGTAACGTAGGGGTGGCGAAAGAGGTCGGTTAAGAGTAGAGGACTGCGGAAAATTGTCAATCAGTGCGACCCATCTGGACTTGATTACAGCCCCGCAATTGCGCTTATATAGTCGGTTCCGGGCCTCAAAATCGCTGGGTCGATTTTTTTTATGCTGTAATTACGAGAACCGGTTATTCGCGAGTTATAAATATCCGTCATTTTGTCTCTCTGTGCGCCATGCAAAATCTTTTATTGTTTTATTTGTGCGCTGTTCCTTTAATTGCGTTATCGTGTACAATCTTCTATCAGATAAAAAAAAGTGGAACGCAGTACAAATTTAGACATTCAGGATATTTCAATTTCGATGTACATGACGTCCCGTAACTAGTAATACAACCAGGAAGGATGATGATTTTATATGAAAAAAAATATGTCAAAAATGTGAAATAAAATTTTTTATACGAGAGGGTTTCTTTTCAGGAG